GAGTACATACATTTGAGGTTTTTGAGATTGGAGAGATGCTGAGGGTACGAACTTAGATCCTTCCTTCACGGTGGAACGTACAACCAGTTCAAGGTTACCTTCAAAAAGTTTGGTATTGATATCCATTGGGTTACAAAGAACGATCCTGTGACATTCGTGAAAGTTGTCGATGGGAAGACGAAGGCGATCTATGTGGAATCAATCGCAAATCCGAAGTACAGCCTCAGTGATATCGCTGCTCTCTCTAAGGTGTACCATCAGTTCCCCTCTCGTTTCACTTGGCTAACACGGTATGGACATGTTACAGGTCGCACACGATGCCGGCATCCCGCTCATCGTCGACAACACCTTCGGCATGGGCGGGTATCTCATCCGTCCCATCGAGCATGGAGCCGACATCGTTGGTACGTTCTTCCCTTCCCCTCGCCTCCTCCTCCCTTACCTCCATTAATTAAACTGTAATACAGTGCATAGCGCAACAAAGTGGATCGGCGGGCACGGCACCACCATCGCAGGTGTCGTCATCGATGGACGTACATTCAACTGGGCCGCCTCAGGAAAGTTCCCTGGAATCACCCAACCCTCAGAAGGGTACCACGGTCTCAAGTTCTTGGAAACATATAGCAAGTCCGCGTACGGTGCTAAACTGCGTCATGAGCTTCTGAGGGATCTTGGACCATCGATCAACCCATTTGCATCGTTCCTCCTCCTCCTTGGTCTAGAAACCCTCTCGCTCCGTGCTCAACGACACTCCGAGAATGCTCTTGTGCTCGCGAAGTACTTCGAGCAACACCCCCAAATTTCTTGGGTTTCATACCTCGGGTTATTGAGCCATGATTGTTAGGATCCAGGGCCATGGTGGCCATGACACCGTAAGCGCACGACACAAAGGGGTGGCCCTCGCACCATATCACAATGGTCACAGTGGCATGGACAAGGCAGATATCGAACTTATATATATGCTATGATATGGACAACACCCTCAGTCATTGCTACACAGACTGAGGGTGAGTTTAAATTATACAGATACGATTATGATGAGTGTACTGACTGTACCTTAGATTAGATACTTACCAGTATCTGTGTTATCTAGGTACAGAATTGAGTCATTGCTACACAGACTGAGGATTAGATACTTACCAGTATCTGTGTTATCTAGGTCCCACTGGTTCAGTTTCCAACAATGATTCCCATGAGCTTGTGGTGAGGCGCATTCGGTGGCATGTTGTCATTCGGCTATAAGGGAAACGCGGAGCAGACAAGTAAGTTGGTGGCTAGTTTGAAGTTGGCGAGTAATTTGGCAAATTTGGGGGATGCAAAGACATTGGTTATTCATCCTGCGACAACCGTCGCATTCGCAGCTCACGGAGGAGGAGCAGAGGAAAGCTGGGTTTACGCCTGATCTTATCCGGGTAAGACTTATGTTTGCTTTCTATGATCCTTACGTGGAACTGATGGATGGGTGGTTTAGGTGTCGGCTGGTGTCGAGGCCATTGGGGATATAATTGCAGACTTTAAGAATGCGCTCGGGGTTGTTGCTGCTGAGGCACAGTGAGTAGAGCAGTGAGAATTGATATCTTTCTCTGCTACTAATATATCAAGACCGAGTGTTGCTCGAGAATTGTTACTCAAGTTCTAGATGAAACGGAAGACAAAGGTGCTGGGCATCTATGCAAGGTGTTGCTGTCTGTACTAAAGCCACACCGCTACCACGAATCTTGTCGTTGAACTACGTCAAGAGCTTCTCAGAAATCTTGGGCCATCGATCACTGGCAGCTCGTTCACACTGTTCCTTCTCCTCGGTTTAGAGACCCTCTCGCTCCACGTTCAGCGACACTCAGAGATTGCTCTAGTGTTCACAAAGTATCTCGAGAAATACCCCCAGATTGATTGGTTGTCATATTTCGGGTTGCCAAGCCATGAATTCTCATGAGCTCGCAGCGTTCGATGGCATGTTTTCATTTGACTGTAGGGGTTACGCCTGATCTTATTCGTGTAAGACTTCTATGAGCCTTTGGTTTACTTCCGGAACTGATGGATGGGTGATATGGTTGGTATCATTGAGCTCGTGATTGGGGATGTCATTGACTCGCTTCGAGAATGCATCGAGGGTTGTTGCTGCTGAGGCGCAGTGATTATATCGGTGAGGATTGTCATCCTACTATACTACTCAAGCTAATATATCATGATCGAGAATAGTTGCTCAAATCTTAATATGAAACGGAAGACAAGGGTGCTGGGCATCTATGCAAGGTACTGATGTCTATTTGAATGAGTGTGCACCGCTACCACGAATCTCATCAAAATCAAGAGGTACTTTTGCTATCGGTGAAGTACCGGCGCTGATTACTTGAATTTGTGAAAGGTGACAGGCATACACCAACAATCGGATACGCAAAAATAGAGGCAGGTGCTTGTTCATTGCCCATAATGCATGATTCAAAAGTTTCTTCAGATCAAGAACCCACATACGGCGTCTAACTTCTCGTGATACCTGCCAAAAAAAAATCGAGGCTTCTGCTCTTACCCACCCACGGCGTTAGCCATCCTACACGGTACATGCTCGAATTATCCGTATGCGGGTACTTGTCCACACCAGTTGACTACTCCATCCGAGTCTGATATCTGTCGACATTTACAACAATTTAATTCTAGCGGAACGCAACAACGATTTAATGGTTTGACAGCGCCTTTGGACTGCAACTGCAATGACATTGACATCCGCGGCGCCAATCTTGACAATGACAGGTACCCACGAACGTCTCGGAAAGCCGTGCGGTGCGGCGTGCGACCTGAAAGTTCAATTGATGTGAGGGTCCCCAAGTTTGGATCCTCCGACTCAGGAGAAAGGTGAATCCCATATAAATGGGCGACGTGTTTTCAGAGGGCTCCCTCGTCTTTGTGTATTACCTCTGATGCAGTACCCCAAGGTTACATCAATTTCTTTCCTTCTCTTCGTTCACACTCTGTCGTGCATTGCTGGAAGCGTACTTCACCCTCCTCTTCCTCTTTTAGGGCGCTCGGAACAAGAAGGAACTATTCCAGCTCTGCTTCGCAGAAGTAGCTTGCGTTCTGGATCTGGCCTCTTCCCCAGACAAGACCTTTGCAATCCGGGTTTCCTCCCATGCGACGACGGTGACACCCTTTTATCACGATATCATTAAAAAAAATTTACTCACGACTTGTCACTAGGTATTAGTTGTTGCACAACCGATCAGTATTGTGGCACATTCAATGGAGTTCCAGGATGCTGCCCCATCGGCAAGATTTGTGACAGTACCGGCAACGCATGCGGCAAATCAGGCTATCTTGTTTGCGCTGGTGATGATTTATGTTGTCGTGAGTGCTGATTATTTCCGACAGTCGTTTACGTTTGAATATTTGTTCTGCATGATCATAACAGCTGACGGTGACCTGTGCAACGACAACAACGGAACCCCCGAGTGCGTTAAACAGGACGGGGAGTTCGACAGTCCACCATTAACGGTACAGCCGGTAACAGTAGCAATGACGATAGTACAAGCAACCACAGTACAAGCAACCACGGCCCCTACTGCTGCTACGCAAGTCTTCGCCTTTCCGATGACTTTTGATATCAAATGTCTAATTTTTTTCAGGACTGGTCCCCCGTCATCTCCCGGTAATGCAGCCGTGAAGAATTCAATGGAAAGCTCGAGCATTGTATCTCTCGTAGCCGGCCTTGTCGCCATTTTATTCGTTTGACGAAATAGCACTCCTACTCGGCCCCTTGCAATACTCATTTCTAGATCCTAATTGTTGTATACCTTTAACTCTTTCCCAGGGGATAATTCCAGCTTATCAGAAAAACTAAGTAACTTTATGTTATCTAGTACTAGTACACGGCCCATCCGTTGTTCTGTTTTTCCCTTGGCGACCGCGTAGTACTAGCATTCGACTCGAGTCTCGAGGTTGCGGGTACTATTATCGCTTCATTGCTTTATCATGAGAGTTTCGTGAGCACTGTAAACATTGTGAACATACATGTTGAAAATTCAGCCTAATCTGGCAAGGTGGCGCGAATCATAAAAAAACCAGGTTCATATCTGCTGTTGTCTGCGACTCAAACACGTGTTACTAGTGCTTGTTTGGGATAATTCTTGTGTTTCTTCAAAACGAATAGACAGGCGTTCCTAATCTCTTGAAGTGAGATATCATTTTTGCAAGGCCCCTAAGTTGGGACCGGCGACGCCGGAGCGGGCCGTGGTCGGCCCCTTTTTACATGCTACTTTATTTCACCTGGTCTATCTTTCCTCAGCATATCTGCAGCTGTCACGCCAGCTCGAAGGCACACGGAGACATCTTTGCTAAGTACTTGCCTGCATATGACACACTTAAGGTATACACCGCCTTGACATCTGACACCTGTTGACAGAGATCCTAGCGGGCAACTCACTTATCATTGAGTATTTTAATAGATTTCATGGCTTGTGGCGCCTTTACACTCGAACACAGTCTAACTGGGATTTCAAACGCGATGTAACCGATTTACCCCTGGATCATCATATACCCATAACGAATACTTGTGCGCCTAGACATCAGTGGAATCGCATCGAGGTACCACACCACGTAAGTACCTGCCGGCTGCATCCGTGCAGTGTGACAGCTTTTCTGCTGATCGTGACGAAACTCGCCGAGCTCAAACATAGGGGTTAGCGGCATAATTGGTAAACACATCTGTCCAACATAGAATGCGTGTGACATGCGCAGTTGTCTCAGTAGTAATTCACCTGAGTCGTCGACCCCGAGTCCGTCTTTCAGAACTCACGCGAATGGGCCAAGTGAAATGTGAAGAGCTGAAAATGCAAGACATCTTGTTGACACCCATCATCGACATAAAAATGACTTGATGACTTCCAAGATTACCTGTTGGATGGCTCTCGCTTTTCAGAGAAAACCGCCATATAGATTACATGGCCCCAGCTCATCCGGAGATTGACAGGGCAAGCTTCTCAAGTGGGTCGGTGGGTCGATGGGTCGATGGGTCGATGGTGTAGTTAGTTATCGCATCTGTCTAACATTCAGCGCGATCTTGTGTGCACAGAAGGTCCCCAGTTCAAACCTGGGTCGACTCATATAGAGAGGAGCTATTATAGTCCTTTTTCAGCGTGGTTAACCGTACACTCCACCGTGGCAATCATAATAACACTCAGCGCAAATCGTACTGATCTCTGAGCGCTCACGGAAAAAGCCTAGCTATCATATGACATATTCGGAGGCTCCAGTTCGAAGCCGCGATAACTCATATATGTATGGACAGGTACATATCTTTTCTCGAGCTTTACCCATGAATTCTGGAGATTACAACATGATCTGGCAGTGACGCCACCAAATCCTCTGCCCCTGCACCTCCACAGGTGCACAGAGGCACAAGGCCACGTATTTCTGGATCAATGGTACACTAGTTGGCTATTCCAGCGTTTCACGTCTCAAACCTCGAGGTAGAGCACGGGAGGTCCTCAGTTCAGCATTTTTTCTTTCAAAGCACGAAACCCGTTTCTCAAAGCCAAGCCATCGAGTATTTGCCTTGCCAACGCCACATCAGGGGTCGATGGCGTAGTTGGTTATCGCACCTGTCTCACATATGTGTGCACAGGAGGTCCTCAGTTCGAGCCTGGGTCGACTCATTGGTTTGCGCACGACAATATCTCTTTTTTGTGTTGTCTATCATGCCAAGTACTCAAGCTCTAGGTATCCAATCAACCTATATGTCAAAGCCACAGGGTTCTCCGAAAAGACTTGAAATCTAACGGTCCTATCCAGTGTCAGTTTACCTGACACCAGTCTCCACGATAGCAAAGTGCCAGGTTTGACTTGGAGAGTTCTTGTGACAGCCCGGGTTCTCAAAACCTCTATCGAGGGGCGGGATTGCGGGAGATTTCCAGTGATCACCGGATATTCTGGTCCCGAGAAGACAAGCAATATACCAATATATGCACAAAATATTAAGTATGGTATCAAGTTCTAATTCCTTTCCACCCTCTAATTCCGGGGAATCAGAGGATTTCTCTGTCATATGACGCCCATCTACCTTGCGAGGTACAGCCAGATCATGGAGCCTCATGGAAGCTTCGTTGGGTGGGCTCCTCTGGATCACTGATCTGATTTGGAAATGGAGAGGGCCTTGCGAGACCGGCAGGAACATCCACATTCGCTTGACAGTGAAGTTCAGATTCGGGCTCACTTAGAGTGAGCAGCGTGCCGTGTAATATTTCCGAGCGCGCCTGCTTCAGAACTAGTCACCTTCGGTTCGAGTGCTTGAGTGAGCTGAGTCCTGACGCTATTGATTGTCCCCGCCGTCGTCCGAGGTCCATATGATTCCGTTTACTGTTTTGGTCAAGGCCGTTGTCATGTGATCAACGCGCGTGCCGTCATGGCCACATGTGACTTGATCTAACTTGGTCCTTCGGACCGACCTGTGCTCCACATTTTTTCTGCCGTCTTACAAAGTCGACAATGGATATAGCTACAACTTCTTCCTCCCGAGCCTACCCTTATACAAGACTTGTAGCAGACAGCGAGGATTCAAGGTAATCTGTCAGCCATTACCTGTCACGGCCTCCTGAGGCTTTCATAGTGCTGTATCACCTCCTAACTTACTACTTATTGCGCAACATCATGGACAGCGAGTCGATTGGCGCTGGGAATGATGCTATGAACTCTAAGCATCGCCCGTATCTCGGGATGACTGGCACACGGCTCAATATCTGGGTCACGGTCGCTTGCACAACTGCGATGACATTGTTTGGTAAGTGACTACCGAGTGTATCTAGGTTGCCAGCATTGATTTAGATGCGTAGGGTACGACCAGGGCGTGTTCGGTGGAATCATTGTTACTCCGGATTTTCTGGATACCATGGGCAATCCGGACCCGACTCTCCAAGGAACAATTGTTTCGTTGTACGACATTGGTTGGTAAGTCTGGTTCATGAGAATTCCTAGCTAAAGATATGCTCACCTTCTAATCGCAGCTTCTTCGGCGCTATGTCTGCTTTCGTGTTTGGTAACTTTTATCATTTCTGCATCCTGGGCCCTTCTGAAGACAATGCAGGGGAGAAGACAGGCAGGAAGAAGGCATTCATCATAGGTGTAATTGTAATGTCCATCGGAGCAATTCTCCAGACCTGCGCATACTCTGTTCCACAAATGATTGTGGCTCGCTTGATCACAGGTCGGTCTCCCTCTATTCCGTCATTCTTTGCTTCTAACCGAACAATGTTCACGAAGGGCTTGGAAATGGGTAAATGTTTCTCAATACTCACGTTATGGTGTACTGAAGCTCTCACTCGAACAGGATAAATACCGCCACTGCACCCGTCTGGCAAAGCGAGACTTCGAAACCTTCATTACGGGGTAAACTCGTCGTTTTCTCCATGATGTACGTACATTCGACCTATCCGTTTCGTAATAATTCATTGACACATCAACGTAACTCAGCATGAACATAGCCGGTTTCTCGTTAAGCAATTGGATGACTTACGGTTTCAGTTTCCTCGACGGAAGCATCACCTGGCGATTTCCTATTGCCTTCCAACTCGTATTCTCATTAATCCTCCTCTCAACCGTTCCCTGGCTCCCGGAAAGTCCTCGATGGCTTCTAGCACATGACCGTTATGAAGAAGGCGTGCAAGTGCTTGCAGCGCTGGAGGGTAACGGAGCAAGTGCTGCAGATGAAAATATCGTAGATCATGTCGAGGAGATCTTGACGGCTGTTAGGGCGGAGAAGGAGACGGCCCCGAGTTGGTCGGACATACTTCGTGGTAGGACCGGAGATACTGGGATGATACAGAGGCTGGTCCTTGGAGCAGGTACGTGTTTTCTTCAAGTGTAAGGACCACGAGACTGATGACGAACTGTTTGTTCCGGCAGGAACGCAATGGATGCAACAACTTGTTGGAATCAACGTTACCAGCTACTAGTGAGTTATTCTCTTCTCTTATCATCGCAATTACCGACGTACGCAAATCAGCCTGCCTCTAGTGCTCCAAAACTCCGTCGGCCTTTCTAACAACCTCTCGCGTCTTCTCGCCGCCTGCAACTCCGTCTCCTATCTCATATTCTCGTTCGCTGGCCTCATCTTGATTGAGAGGGCAGGACGACGAAAGATGATGATCTGGGGTGCCGCCGGACAGTTTCTTTGTTATGCATTCATAGCAGGACTTCTTTCACAAACTGATGATCCGGTGCGTGGCAGGAAGTTCGGAGCTGGAGCGACGATGTTCTTTTTCTTGTATTATGTCTTCTTTGGGATCTGCTGGCAGGTGAGTGCTTTGTTTTTGGAAGTGTATACTTTTGGCAACCTTGTTTGTGGTTCAAAGGGCGTTCCTTGGTTATATCCGACTGAGATCAACAGTCTGTCCATGCGTACCAAAGGAGCTGCTTTGGGAACTGCTTCAAACTGGTGGGACGTCACTCCTCTTTGATTAGTACAGAGTTGACATTCTGTAACCGACAGGATTTCAAACTATATCGTCGTTCAGATAACCCCCGTTGGAATCGCGAACCTCGGTTGGAAATTCTATCTCATCTGGATGACCTTCAACGTTTTATTTGTTCCTGTACGCTTCTACCCTTCTAACTCCGAATTTCTCCTCTGACCCGAGTCCCAACTAGTTGGTCTGGCTCGTCTATCCTGAAACCGCCAACAGACATCTTGAAGATATAGACAAGCTCTATCGCGACAACAGCTCCCTGATATTCGTGTATAGAAATAAGGAAGCAACGCAGGTTGAGCGGCCACAGAGGTTCATCGATGCTGATCGAGAACGCCTCCAAGTGGCGCGCAAACATCAGTTGCAGAATGGTACTGATAGCGGAGATCTGTAGATATCCGAGCTGTGTGGATCTGTAGACTGGATCTTTGCTCTTTCACTCTCAGCCCAGGTAGAAGACCGTTCAAGGTTTGAGAGTAACGTTAAAAACAAGCTGAGAAGCAGGAACAATAAAATACATTTACTAAAAGTTTAGAGCGTACACGGTGCTGGTATGAGATAGGGTATATGCTTTGTCCATCATGCGTCAAGCGCAAGGATCATTCAAGCATGGGGCATGCTAGGATTATCGAATCGACAGTTAAATATCCTCAGAGTCCCTTCGAGTTGTGGAAGCCCTTCGAGTTGTGGAAACCCTTGAGACTTGTCAAAGGGCAGCGGCGGCGGCACCGAAAGGTAATTGGCGCGGAAGATGATCATATCATCCCAGTCGTCCTCCATACTTTCATCGTAGTTGGCACGGGCGTCATCCAGAACCTTTCTAATCCACAGATCTGGAGAGTCCGCCATGTCCGCGCCGAGAATGAAAATTTGACGCGATTTGCCAAAGGGAACGCTGACCACGAGATATATTTCGGGAAATCCTGTATTCTTGAGCAAGTGCCTTTGGGATAAGATCGGGCGTCGAACGAATTCGGGAAATGCCTCTGGAATATCCACGAAAATGACGACGGTCGGGTTGTGATATTCAATATATACGACGAGGTCCTCCGAGTTATTTTCCCAAAGAACCTGGTCTTGAACCTGAAAGATTTTCATAGCGTATTGTTTGACATGGTAGTCGGCACTAAATTGGATAAACTGGCGATCGTGTTCGGAGATGGGTGTCGATCCCCCCTCTGAATCGAGGGATCAGTTACGTTTGCACTCTGGCAAGTCAAGGGCGTTATTTACCTTCTCTATCCTTGCGAAGTTTGTAGCAGTATGATTTGTGGTCTCCGAATTTCCAGTCGCTGGCTTGACAAGCCTTGGAACAATACGGAGTAGTCTGGCATGCGCCACACAATTTGAAGTATTTATTGGTTTCATGATTCTTGCACTATTAGTTGTTCAATTAGTGTTCTGTTTCTTTGATGGACCTGGGACATACGTCGGGAGCTGAGCATGGCAAGTTATATTTGCCTATTCTATCAAAAGCATGCTTGACAGCAACCCTACTGCGAAGGACAGCTTTGAACTGTCTCCAATTAGTCCAAAATTCCCCGTCCTTGGGGACTCGAGATTCCAGTAGTGGTATTACCGGATCTTCCATCACTCGTTCCAGTTCTTTGATGTATGAACGGTATATGAGAAACATCAAGAGA